CCGGAGATAAGATAAGCCCCGCGACAAGCTACCCTGGACTCAGATTCTGGCAAATTGGAGTTTAAAATAACATCCTGTTTTGATATTAACTGCATATTTGGACACATCAGCAGAAGATACATAAGTTATATGTGGTGTTCTTAGGATAGTGCCTTTTCAATAAGGGTGGGAGGTCAAAACTGCAACGGTCATCATTCTTTGGAAGTGTCACGAAACAATCTGACGACGCCTACCTACTTGACATGTGTTCCTCATCAATGTGCTACATGGAAGTGTGACCAATACTGGAATCGCACAAAAAAAAAAAAGAAAGAAAGAAAGAAAGAAAGAAAGAAAGATCATCCCACCTCAGTGGAATATCTGATATAATACTCTTGCGCCTAAATAACCCGGGATAATTCGCTTTAGGACTCATTCATCCATATATCGGATCCATTGTCCGTTTTTAAGACACAACTCGTCCATCCTTTCCACGTCCAGCTTATTGCAAGAGTCCAGAAATAATCGCAGTTGTTCAAGGAGTCTCAAAAGCTGAACAGGGAGTGAGTCGAGGTGTACATTGATAAGCCGCAACTGAGATATCTCGTTTATTGGCGACGAGGGCACAGAGACATCACAACAAAGAGCGTCTCTACTTAAGTAACTACGATACCTGCTTCTCTAGACTTCCTACCTAGGCCTGAGCTGATGAATCGGTCCTTTCACAATAGCATCATGGACGCGAAGAAATGGCCTCCCCAATCAAGCAAGTATTCCTGGTTTCAGCATCACATTGGCGAATCCAAGGTGCTCCAAGAGATGCAGCAGCGGCTTGGAGACGTGTCTGGAAAAGCATGATATCAATGTGGTGTAAGCCAAGATGTGAGAAACGATGGGCTTCCGCGCGTTCAGCTGAGAACTTTTCCCCTGCGTCAATGGTTCAAAACAACTGTGAGGTCCAGAATATTGTTGCCGACATCCGATGCTGCTTGGCAGCTCGTGTTTGTGGTTTCAACGACAGCCCAAGATTCAGTTGATGGAATGAATTGGTGCCAATTTTGGTGCCACGATTCGTGAGTGGACGCAATGTCTAAGGAGTCCCTACCGAGAGCACGAGACTCGCTGTTCATGATGATATTAATATTCTCAGGAAATTGCTTTTTGCTTGCAGCAAGTAAATGAATAGTGTTGTTCTCTGGATTTGTAAATGAGTAACCCCCTGTTTAGCATCCATCATGGAAATGTCACTTCGGCCCCTGAAGCTTGGGTAAAAATACTTGGCCCCTAGGCAACATAAGGCTTAGCGCCCCACGGCTGGGGCCACGTCGCCACAGAACTTGGACGTCCTAGGGTCCTCCTTCAGCAGGGTGACACCCCTGTAGCCATTATTTTAGGCTTGTTCAAGGCTGCAGCTGTTGGGACGGCGCAGGGAGAGGAGTTTCCTCCATCGTATCGAGTACGGAGCGGATCTTCCATTTGGTTGCCCCTTTGTAAATCCAAGCCAATCCAGATCACCCAATTCAACATCCAAACCTCCATCTTCATTCCTGTTCCAACCTTGCAGCTCCCTTTTTGTCTCTTTGAATCAAGTAGCCAACGTGTAGCTCGATCTTGGCTCCGGACGTTGATCGCCTTGCGGGAGACCCCTTTCTTATTCCCTTTGGTGTCTGTAATTGTCTGAAGTCAGCATCAAGGGCTATCTCCGCAAAGTTTATTCTACCTACGCTACGTTACACGCGACTTCGATTGTCGCAAGGTTGTCAGCTTCAAACTTTACTGATCAACTATCCTTTTTGACGCTCTGTTCCTCCTTTTGAATTGCGGCCTCGACCGCCGACAGCTTTTGCGACCCGACGATCGAATCTCTTTTGAACTCAACAACAACGATCCTAACTGCCTATCATGAAGATCCGAACCACACACTCGCCTTTGGTCCTCCTCCTCCTCCCTACCGTAACAAATGCGCTCGCCTCCAATGATATTGCCGACCTACCTGCTCCGGGAGCTGCGATTACAGAACAGACCGATGGCTTGCCCCAGGCCGGCGTAAAGCGTCATGATATTCCAACGAAATATGCCCCCGTTGATGGCAGAGACGGAAAGCCTCACCACGGACCCTTTATCGAAATAGATGATCACAAGAAGACCCCTGAAGTGGCCCTTGAGGCTGGTTCCGACACTACAGCAGGGTCTGGCTCGGGGGCCGGAGCCGCAGCCGGAGCTGGAGCTGGAACGGGTGCATCAGCAGGTACTGGAGCTGGCACAGAACCCAAAACTGGAACCGAGGCTGCTCCCAAGATCGACAGCAACCCGGATTCCCTTCCTGGACTCAAAGGCCGACCCGAAGACCCGACTGTCGTAGATGGCGAAAAGATCCCCGAAACCAATGATGGTGTCATGTTCGACACTAACCGAGTCCATGCCCAAGAAGGCACCACTGGAACTGAAGGCGGCGTGACTGAGAGGTCCAGAGCCCGAAAACTTGAAGAGGATCTCGCTGGCGAGGAGACCTTCAGGAAACCCTCATCACCCAAGGAGGCGCCTCCTCTGCCACACAGTGAAGAGGAAAAGATTCGTGCTTCTGGTGGGGACAAGGCCAAGGAGCTTGGCGACGACACTGGCAGCGCGAAGGTAGAAGACGTTGTGCCCAAAGCTGCAAAGCCTGTCCTCAGCAATGATGATAAGCACGACTACACTGCGGGACTGGAGGTGAGTAAAGGCTGCCCTCTGTAGTATCGTAAATACAGCTAACAATTACACAGAAACCTGCCGATCTTCCCGACCGGCCCGTCGGACAGAACAAACCCGTTCAAGACTCAACAAAGACTGAGCCCATCGACTTGAGCCGAGGGAAGACACACGATGGACACCATGATGACGAGAGTATTATCCAGCCATTCCACTCTTTTGTGCTATCCTTCACCATGATTTTGGTCTCTGAAGTTGGTGACAAGACGTTCTTGGTTGCAGCTCTCATGGCTATGAAGCACGACCGTATGGTTGTGTTCACTGCCGCTTTTGGTGCACTTCTTGTCATGACTGTTCTTTCGGCTGTCCTGGGTCATGCTGTTCCTACTCTCATCCCCAAGCGTGTCACCAGTTTTCTCGCTGCTGGCCTCTTCTTCGTCTTCGGTGCGAAGCTGCTGCGAGAGGGTATGCAGATGGACCCTAACGAGGGTGTCTCTGCTGAGATGCACGAGGTCGAACAAGAGCTTGCCGAAAAGGAAAAAGAGATGGGCCGAAAGAGAGGTGACTCTGTGTCTGCTTACACTCTTGAGATGGGTATGAGTGGGAATGGCCGCAGGTCTCGACCCAGCAACCGTCTAATGTCTCCTCCTCGATCGCCTTCTCAGTCACCTGTACGAGATGCTCGCTCGAGCTCAGGTGCTGTTGCCAGCATTGTCCAGGGTGCTACCAACCTCTGCTCTCTTCTGCTTAGCCCTGCCTGGGTTCAGACATTCATTATGACCTTCCTCGGCGAGTGGGGTGATCGAAGCCAAATTGCCACTATTGCTATGGCAGCCGGTCAGGATTACTGGTGGGTGACCTTGGGTGCCACGTGTGGCCATGCCATCTGCACTGGTGTTGCTGTTATTGGTGGTCGAGCTATTGCCGGTCGAGTCAGCCTGAAAGTTGGTAAGTCAATAGTCTATAATCCTCTTGTTGAACCAAACGAGCTAACACTATGTAGTCACTGTGGGCGGTGCCACTGCTTTCCTTATCTTTGGCGTCATCTACCTCCTGGAGTCTCTCTATAGCTAGAGGTGTCTTCTCGAATGCCAAAATTTCTTTTCTCGCTAATAGACCACGGTTTGAGGACCTATCGTCATCTGAGACCATTTGCCTACTTGACGCCTAACTCGTTGTAATTTTTAACGGCCTCTCTCTTTTTTCTGACAGGAACAAGCGATCAAGGGACCAAGATCTTCAGGCGTACTCTGCTGGGGTAGATCTTTTGTATAATTACGTGGCTGAGACAATCTCAGCCTCATGTTCGATTCAGTGCACATGGACACTGATCTCCTTTGCCAAGACGCGTGGCTTGGAGTATTGGGAAGGGGAATCAAGACTAAGAAAATATACGCAAGGGAGGAGCAGGAACTGGAAAGGAGGTGAAAAAGGGGAGAGAATCGATTGGACTGTTAATCAATTCCTTGTATGAAATGTTGGGAATTGCTTCAAGCTTTGTACGGAATGGAAAGGAATGAGCGTGAATGATATTCATGGATTCGAGCTACGATTAGCTGTAAATAGCAGCTGTCTCGGTATAGCCATGATGACATATTAATGTACGATGAGGCATCACAATACATGTCCGGGTAAGAAATACTGTTCCTCGTGCAAACATTACGCCAATGCACATGGAGGCTTCCACGCGTTCATCGGTATCAAGTCACTGCATGAATGATATTGAAAAGGAGCAGGTCATTTATCTCCACCTGTCAATCATTAAATCTGCCAGAGGTATATCCTTCTATCATCTGTCCTTGATCAATGACCGGACCCAAGCATCCTTCAAGTTCAGAACCCCTCCCTCCTGTTGACATCCACCAACTGAACAAGACTCCGACAAATCCTTCAGCCCTGGGCTAGAAAACCACAGCTCTGAACAAACTTTGACAAATTCGTCACCATCCGTGAGTGACCTTTCATTTTCTTCATGATAGACCTTTGCGGTCTTTCTTTTCCCACCGTAGAACAAGGCAGTAAAAACAACATAGCAAGAATGAGTAAAAGCAAAGCAAAAAATAAACCTCCTCAATCATCGTCAAGGTATAGCGTAGTCCCCATTTTCCAACGTTGGGAATACATGCGTGGTATCTGACAATCGATCTCAAACATCTTGATGTGCTCTCACAAGTCGTTATTGAATCAAACAAATTCTCGTGACAATTGCCATTGGACTGGTTTTCAGATCTCTATACTGGAAAAGATGCGCTTCCTTCAAACGTTTCTGTCGTCATTCATATAATCCTCCTCCCCCATCATGCCATGGAGTTCTGGGTATCGTAGTCTGACGCTCAATCCTCGTCCTCTTCGTTGATCGGGGCAGGTGTTCGTCGTTCCGTACGCCTCTTAGGTCGTCGGTGTCGCGAACTACTGATGTTACTGGCCGAATCATCGGGCATGATGTCGACATCATCAAATGCCCAGTCATCGTCACTTCCCGGATCACGATCGCTTTCGCCAGCCCAAGCCGGGCGCTCATAGCCTGAAGCTTGCGAGTTTCCAGAGTTGGGGCCGGACAGCACGTCAATGCGACGGCGGTTCTGCAAGTTCTGCATCAAAGCAGCTCCTCGCTGACGCAGTGCATTCCGGACAACTTCGGCCTTCTTATGCAACTTTTCGAAGGCATCCTCCAAAGTCTCCATTCCCTTGTAAATCTCTCGTTCAATCTCTGCAATGGCTGCCATCTCCATCTCCTCATCGTTTGAGACAGCCTGTCGACTTCCGGGCATTCCTGTGGTGTTGACGCTGACGAAAGAGGCTGGTGTTGTACCTCGTGAGTAGACCGAAAAAGGAGTCGTGTTTCTCGAACTGAACGACGATGAAGCTCGAGGTCCAGGGCTCATCGTTCGGGTATTGTAATAGGCACTAGCGGGTGTTGGTCCGCGCGATTCATTATGCGGAGTTTGTGGCACATCATCATCAGCTCCTGACCAGAGGAAGCCGTCGAAGCGACCAGAGATGAGAATCTCCCACTCTGAATTGTTGATGTTGGAAAGTGCAACGAGGAGATCATGCGTATGCGGGTTCTTAACCAGATACGTAGCCGATTCAGCGTCTCGTGGCACTTGCTGCAATCTGTATAGCCGCTGCAGGGCCAGGCCAGTCTTGATGAGAAAATCCGTTCGTGGTCGATGTCCAGGTGTAGGAGCACGAACTGACGACTTGAGCTCCTTCGAGCCAGTCATGATAGCGTTGAAGTAAGGGCGGTCCTCAGGGTCAAGGTTTGTGAGGATAGCAAAGGACAATGTCTCGTCATCGACATCTTGGGGAGGTGGCACTGGAGTTTCTCCAGTGTTGGATAGCCATCGGTCGACAGCAGAGCGAACCTTCTTCGACTGACGAAGATAGTGCTCCCTAAACTCCTCCGCAATATCAGGGTCCAGCTGGACAGGTGACTGAGGTCGAGGAGGCCTATCACCAGAGATTTCAGCAGCCTTGGTACCAACTTCGGCAAGATCAAAGGGCGGCCACTGCGGGAGGTCAATTCGACCGCTCACCCACTCCAACACATCGCCCCAGTTGAGACCATCGTGAATTTCATGGGGGTTATCGCACATGATGCAAGTGCAACCATGAGGAGGTAGATCGCGAGAAAAGACATTTTCGAGGCGGTCCAACAGCCTGCGAGCAACAGAACGGTGTCCGGTAGCAACGGCAATCGAGCCCTGCTTGCTGAGTACTGTGTTGTACTGGTCTAATAGATTATGGAAGGGAGCAAATAGGGTGTCTGTGCCGACCAGAGGTGGGTTTGAAGGTCGGTTCCCGTTCTGACGGGGTAAAACAGAAAGGAAGTTCTTAGGGGCTGTGTAAGCCAGGCCGCCATTCTGAAGCAAGTAGTCGACTCGCGGCATATCGTGAACATCGAGTGCGGGAGGGGGAGGAGGTGGTGGAGGGGGAGCAGCAGCACCAAAAGCAGACGCAGGCGTAGCCGTCTTCGAATGCAGATTCGAGTCGACATCTTGGACGTCGATGACTGAGGGAGTCTCAGGCTTGGCATCCGGGTATCCATGAGGAAATGGGGCTTGTGTTGGTGTCCTGGGAGATGAATCCTGAGCACTTGAAGGAGAAGATGCTCCATCGACATCATACCTTCTGTGACTTCGAGTAGATGATGTTCGGTGAACAGAGCGATGAGAAGAACTAGATGCTCGGGAATCAGAACGGCGAACCTTGTCGCCAGAGCGGCGCGATGAAGACTTGACGTAGGTAGCTTGGCTCGAGACTCCGGACCGACGACTCACGCGAGACCGCTCCTCGTTTCGTGATGCTGAGCGAGAAAGACTTGACACTCTTGATTTTGGCTGTTCAAGACCAGCCTCGGCTGCCGGGAGTTCTTCTGTAGGCGTTCGGATCCTTGGGGTTTCGTCTCTAGGTGTCTCAACCTTTGGTGTTTCATTTTCGGGGGCTTCCTCTTTTGGATATTCGTTCTTGGCTGGATCTTCTGGTGTCTCCTCGTTCACTGCTGTTTTGTCCGCATCGAGATCAGTTCGGGGTGGACTGAGCGGCACATCTGGCTTGCCGCTGTCAGAACCCTTGGGGGATCTCGAATCTTCGGTATATGGAGCACCCGTAGGTTCAGGAGTAGACGGTTTGGGACTACGTTGGCGAGGGAGGGACAGGGAGTCGCGACTAACGATGGCCTCCTTACTGTGCGCCTTGCTGAAAGACGGGTAAGGCACTGAGATGCGATCAGAAAGTATAGAGGTGGCAGCTGTTGACGTCCTGGCCATGTCTGAGCTGGCCAAGTCACTGGTCGAGGCTGCACGGTGATGGCGGTGGTGATGCTCGTCGCTGTCCCTTTCCCTACGGTGACGGTGACGGCGACTAGATGTGTGGGAAACGGTGTCGCTCACCTCACTGAGCTTGCTTCTAGAAGAGCGTGAGGTGCGATGTCGGCGACGCTCGCGGTCGGGGTCCTTATGCTTTTCCCGATCATGGTCTCGGTCGCGATCTTTGTGGTCCTTTCGTTCAGACTTGGAGCGTCTCGGCTTTTCGCGTGGCGGCTCATCGGCTGGGACCTCGAGGTCGTGGTCCTTGGAGGACATGGTGGACCATGGAGATGTGGTAAGAGTATCGTATGGCAGATGGTGATTTTGCGGTTATTCGTGGTTGTCGTCGACAATTCCAAGGGTATGCGGTTCAAGAAAGCGGTCAAGAATAGTGGGCGCAAGGAGGAGTAGATAATGATATCGCCGTATGACAAGTTGAAAAGCGAGGATTAAGCAAAGCGAGATTCAGGCTGTAAGAGTGAGAATAGTTGTAATATTGAGCGAGTTTGGTTACAGCGAAGTAAAGGAGAGTCGTGAAGAGGGGATGGTTGTACTGGCTGTAGAAGTGTGTGAGGTGAGGGCGCATTGAATGGAAGCAGGCTAAGCGCAGTGTCAGGCTCCCGTCGGCTTGGTTGGTTCATTCCCTGCAGCCCAGGTCTCAGATCAGGTTCCGGGAGAAGAATCAGGCACTAAGGCAGGACAGAAAGACTCTCAAGACATGCACTTCCATTAGAGAGTAATTCATTCATTCCTCTCCCTATTCTTGTTCTCACCGTCAGAAGCACCGCTGTAATGAAATGCGGGCGATTGACTCAATGCTTCCTGATTTAGAGTCGCTTATTAGCTCCCCAGCCTGCGATTTAAAAACTCGTTTAATAGGGGATCGGAGAGCTTGGACTTTCGCTTGGGAGTAAATTCAACGGCGGTGATCAACTGAAACTGCAAGGGATCCCACGGAGCTACAACAGATGATGTCAATCTCTAGAGGAGTCTTCGACACCAAAAACCAGTAAAAATCACAAGCAAATCACCACCTCACCAATTTCAATTTCTCGTCATTGACAGAGCCACCACAAACACACAAACGCATACGCAATCTTGACTCTACACAGCCCGATCATGGAAGCTCCCGCTTATCCCGTCTCCCGTGGCCCGGCCCTCGGGGAGCAAGAAATCTTCTGACCTCTAACTAAGGTGTCAAAAAGACACAGCCATATGGCTAGTTAAATCTATGCAACACCAGCCTGAGTATTTCTGTTACTCAGGATCGAGGTCCTCGGTTTTCTTACCTCCCACAAGGCCCGTTCCCCAAATTCTGCTGTGGAGCCCAACTTTGTTGAACAAAACTGAAGCCGGCACGACCACACCCATTAAAAGAGACTTACAGGGGAGTGCTGTAGATGCGAGGTTGGAGGCTGGGTACAGGGTGAATGACGACCAACCACCTTCAACATCTTAACCGCCTGTGACCCCCTGGTCGAAGCACATGGAAGCCATATTTAGAACATGAGAATGTGTGACAGAGGCTTTGTGTGTTGATATCATTCCTCGAAAAATGCAAAACGGTGCCTATGCTAGACTAGATTCACATGACTCAGAAATAATATCTCATCTACAGCTGCCTGCCACGCATCAATGGAGTAGTTCGGATTTAATGCATACCAGTTACACCATTAAAACAAGTCACTACATAGTTCAAAAGGGCAAACGAGAGAATAGGGGATGTATTGATACTATGCTCTGTGTTCAGTCCCTTTTGTTCCTATAAACAATGCTAGAGTCTGCTGAAATTTTATCCCGTTTTTCATGGCAGTAATAGTGGCTTTGGTGTAGTATTATATCTTGGTAGTGTAGGCTATAGATCAAAAGTTAGTGATTACGTCAATCTCAGTATTAGATAGATATATAGATATCTTCTTTCTTAATAGCTTAAATACTGACCTCAATATTGCCCATTTATATGCTATTGATTGCCTCTCTTTCTTCTAGGAGTCTTGGGGGATTTGTATGACTTTCTTGAGTTGAGTAGCGACTTCAGTAGCGATAGCGTTGGCGAGACGCTCCTCCAAACCACTTAAAGCATTGTGAACTCCAATCTGGACTGCCATCTTGATGGAAGTATCGGATTCTTCATCCATTCCAGGAGAAGCTGGTGGAGAAATGCCGTTAGGAGTTGGATCGCTCATGATCAGTCGTGGATATTTCTTTGATTACCTATCGAAGAATTATCGCCGACAGGCCCTTATTTATATACCTTTAGAGTCAGTCAGTCATCAGGATATCTAGCTTTTCAGCCAAAAGCAAGATCTTAGGCGACAGTGAGTTTATTGGTGTTCTTAACCTTTGTGCCATATGGCTGAAGCCTCTTTTAACCTCTCAACCTTATCACAGGCGAAAAAGCTTGGGATCTCAAGAGGCTGATTGAATTTCATAGGCTTGTACCAGCTTCAGAGCTGAGTTCTCACTCAATTCTTGGCGGTGCTGCCCAATCCTTCAACCAACAATAAATTAAGCGCCCAAACTGTCACGAGTTCCTGCGATATCCATTCACAGCCTAACACAACTGACAGCTGTCACACTATCATTCGTGATAGGCCGCCGAGTACGCAGTCCACGTACAGTATCACTTGCATATGCTCGCTTCTGAAAATAGTTTCATCATGATCTTCATTGTATCGATCCTAATCTATGCCGATACATTTTCGTCGTCTAATTGATCCGAGAAATGTGGTGTAATTAATCCATCACGTTCACACTTCTTTTCCCCATCCATCTCATTCAAATTAACGCCATTTCCGTTTATCACTTGCGCTGCAAATTTTCGTAGAGCGAAGCGGTATAATAAATGTTCATACCACGACGCTGCTTTTAGCCACACCACCCATGCGCATCGACGCGGTAGGTAGATGTAGCTTGCGGGTATCTCTCTCTCGGTTGAATCCCGAATAATTCGTCCAAAATCATCATTTACAGACGGTCAAGGAGACCGTTGCTCTCGAGAAGCAGGACGATCTGGTGCACAATGGATCGGACGTTCTGCTTCTCAAGGTCGACAACGAGGTCAGGCTTAGCGGGGGCCTCATAGGGGTCATCAACACCAGTGAAGTTCTTGATGTCACCACGGCGAGCAGCAGCGTAGACACCCTTGCGGTCAGTCTTCTCACAGAACTCGAGAGGAGTAGCAACGTGTACGAGGAAGAAAGGTCCGGACTTCTCAACGAGGTCGCGGGCAGCCTTGCGAGCATCCTCGAAAGGAGCAATAGGAGCGGCGATGACAGCGGCACCGGCCTTGGTCAGCTCAGAAGCAACGAAGGCAATGCGCTGGATGTTGAGATCACGGTCCTTGCGAGTGAAGCCAAGCTCAGGAGAGAGCTCGTGTCGCACGTTCTCACCGAGAAGCATGGAGACGGGGCGACCACCACCCTGGTTGAGTGTAGCCTGGAGAGCACGAGCGATCTGGTCCTTTCCGCTGTTCTGGTAACCAGTCATGAAGACAGTGAAACCCTTCTCGGCAGGAAGAGGGTTCTCCTCGCGAAGAACCTTGACAACCTCGGGGTAGGAGAACCACTCGGGGATCTCCTTGCCGGTTCGGAGACGATGTCGGAGCTCAGTACCAGAGATGTTAAGGGTGCGGGTGCCCTCGGGGATCTCGTTGATGGGGAGGTACTCGTCAGAATCGGGGAGGTAGATCATGGCCTGGAACTCGACCATCTTGATACCAAGCTCCTCTTGGTGCTCCTGGACGAGAACCTGAGCATCATAAGGACCGTAGTGGTCCTTGCCCTGCTTGTTCTTACCGGGACCGGCGTGGTCACGGCCAACGATGAAGTGGGTAGCACCGTGGTTCTTTCGGATAATGGCGTGCCAGAGGGCCTCACGGGGACCACCCATTCGCATGGCGAGGGGCAGAAGAGCAAGGGCAGCCATGCCGTTGGGGTATCGGGGCAGAAGAGCCTTGTAGACACGGACACGTGTGAAGTGGTCAATGTCGCCGGGCTTGGTGAGACCGACGACGGGCTGGATCAGGACGTTGGCCTGCTGGGAGCGGGCGGCGCGGACCGTCAACTCACGGTGAGCTCGGTGCATGGGGTTTCGGGTCTGGAAAGCGACGACTTTTTGCCAGCCGAGCTTGTTGAAGTGAGCGCGGAGCTCAGAGGGAGTGACTGGCCATGGTTAGTCTGATATTGTGCCTTAATTGCTCGCAGTGACTTACATCGGAGGTCGAGGAAATCGTAGTGCTCGAGACGGTTGATAGCCTCAAGCTTACCACCAACGTAGAACTCCTTAGCGGTGTCAAAGAGGTACTTGACACCGGGATGGGTGTCATCGTCGCTGCCAAAGACCTTCTTGGCCTCGTTGACCCTGTTGCATCCGTATTAGCACCAATGCCCCATGTAAGTGGGCGCGGCCATGATCACGTACTTGTCAGGTCGGTAGACATCCTCGACAGTCAGGATAGCAAGGTTTCGGTCGTCACGGAAATCTCGGAGAGTGATGCGAGCGCCAGCCTTGATGCCGAGCTGGTCGATCTGGGCCTGGTCAACATCGAGGTTGATAGGCATGGAGAAGAGGGCGCCATCAGCGAGACGGTTGTTCTCGACAACGCTAGAAAGCTTTGTTAGCTCATGGACGACGCAATTGAATGATTTATATGGCAACTTACCCATTGTAGTCCTTCTCAGTCAAGAAACCTATAGAATAACTAGTCAATCGCTATTCTTTCTCACTCATGATAGAATCGCCGCCGCCGCAAAGCGCCCGCCGGAGCCGGAGAATGCGGGGGCGGGGCACCGAAGTCAACCCCCCCATCATCACAGCGGGGGGAACAAAAGATCTTCACGAATAAAACAAGAGGCGCATACCTTCGAGAGGGGAGAAGCCACCGTTGAGGATCAGCTCAAGATCGCAAAGGTGTCGCTCGCTGAGAGTAAGAGCAGGGAGCTTCTGAGCCTCAGCTTCGAGCTCGGCCTGGCGAGGCAGATCGCGAGCGAAGAGGTCCTTAAGGATACCACCGTGAGGAGTGTTGGCCATTGTGATGTGAAGCTTTTGTGGTGTTGAGGAGGGAGAAGGAGGATGAACGAGAATGGCAAAAACTATGTCGCTACTTGGGGTTTTGTAAAAGAAAACAGAAGTTGGAGCACGCAATCGTGGGGGTCAACGATTGCACAGGTGTTATTCGGAGAAGGACGACGACGAACAGACCAGAAACAGAGGACGAGAAGAATGAGAAGGAATAGTAGGAGAGAAGGATGTGCTTTGATTTTAAGTCGACTACCTTGCCCAGCGGGATATAGAAAGGTACCTCGATCTTCAAGCCCATCCACTACGAGAGTACGGATACCACATCCACCACAAATTCTTACATCCACCCTGTCATGATTAGTCCCCTCTCCCCGTCCCTTATTACTGGGGTTAATTGGACTGGAGGGGTGTGTATGGTACCGCGAGTAAGGCAAGAAAAAATTGCGTTTCCATAGGCAAAACGGACGAAATCGGCCAATGTATCCAATCCTCATTCTCTGAACGTTTCCTCGCCCTCGAAAAGAGGAAAAAAACAATGGGGTCGTGGTTTTAGCTCTCAATGACGTGCTCGGAGCTTGAGGCTTATACATGCCGCCGACGACCCAGAAGACCAATCAGAGACGAAACGACCGGACGAGGCGGCACTAGGTCGTCGGAGCATCGCTCTCGGCGGCGTTGGAGGGCATGGGGGGCATCATGATGAGAAACTTGAGCAAATTCTACTGTTTCCGAGGAGGTTATTGCAGTTGTCACAGGCGCAACGGGTTTCAAATACAGGGGCTGATGTTACGGCTTACACGCTGAAGAAATGTCGATGCTCGGAACTCGCAACACATCAGAATGCGATTACAAAGCGGAACGAGATGCACAACATGGATTATCAGTTTCCTATTCGAATCTCTCATTACCAATTCAGTTCCTGGTACCTTGGAAGCGGCAAGGAAACTCTTCAAGCGCTGTTACAACTGCAGTAGGGTCCCTCTTTAACCCCCCTGTCTACGCTTTGATACCCATCTAGAGCGCAAGGGTAAACGAAATAGATTCAACGGACATGTTCCATGGTATGACCAATTGACCACCCATTCATCCACATGTAACTCATGGTTTGCATCTATATCCACTAATAGTTTGCTTCCATGAAGAATCGTGGCTTATTAAGGTTCTCTACCGGATATCTTGTTCAAGCTGACTTGTCTTGTCATGGAGATACTGGAGTTGAAATCATCTTGAACATGAGACCCTTTCGTCGACGCCAGAATACAATCACTTGTCTGATCGTGATACTCTGTAGCCTTGTATCTATACGGCTGCTGGGGCGTATGTATTTATTCAGTTTCCATCGACTTGGGGCGTCAAGTCTCCCCGAGTCACCGCGGTTATCGGGGCGAATCGCGGTCGGGCGATCGCCCGAAATGGAGAAAAGACGAAGCACGCCTTTTTTTTTCACTTCCCCTCAGTCATGATAGATCAGAGATCCTACCTTAGTAATCACGCAATTATGTGACGTTGATACGACACTTTTGGACGGTTGACTGATCGGCAAGGCCACGCGGAAGTAAATCTTTAATTTGGAGATCGGTTTTTTTTTCTCATGCAGGACAAACATTGAAAATTTCCCATATGGCCCAATCGTCTTCTCTGAGATGTGGTTATGACTGAAAGTCTTTGATAACAGACTAGGAGAAGCATGGCTGAACGAAATACCCAGTTTCGCAAAGTACCCTTTGAGGGATGGTCCTTTTTGGGTTTGAGGTTGCTGTCATTTGTTGATTGATTTCTCTTCAATTGAGTTCTCCCTCAAGATAAGCATACATGCATAGTCTGTTCTTGGCAACACCTTGGTGACCTGAAATGAGCTTCGAATGCTCGCTCAGGTACTGTATATCAGGTTGTGCACACAGAAGATGCTGCAGAAAGGCAGCAGCTGACAAGCTTGCCTCATTTTGTGGCATTTAGTCGCCATCGGCCGCCAAGACCCAATCCCACGATCTAGTCCCATTCACCCACCCACATCTTGACGGCACCTGGCACCTCAAGGTGGATGAGGAAGCCAAGAGTCATTGCTTGGGTTAAAGCTGCGAGCGACGGTCCGAAAGCCGGTTATACATATATAACGCAGACATGCCTGTTTTTGAAGCTGCTCGTCTGCCAATCGCACACCATGAAAACGAATGGCCTCGTATTGTTGATGGGCAAGACCAATTGCAGTATTGTGAATATGCTGTCTGCGCCTTGAAGGGTGATAGCATTGGTGATGTGGTTCTCAAATCCCTCTGGGGTACGGAAAAAAAAACTCGGGCCCTTGACCCTCAATGATAAAGACTTGGGTGACTTGGTATAAATTTAGGATACCCTTCACTGAATTTATTTTAATAATCTATACTAAGATCTGATGTTTTCTTGCTCCCTAAGGTCAAGTTCTTCTTTCTCCTTACATCTACACTATCTACACCATCCCCTGTCTACACCAAGACCCTGCTTTCATTCCCCACTACAAGATCCTAGACCAACCTTTCATCAAAGCACACATCACAGATGACCCAACTCCGAATGGAGTTCCTTCCCTATATCCTCTCAATATGTCCCCTACAGCATTCGAAAGCGCCATCAACAAGGCATGCGAGACTGCGGTCAACAATGCCCTCAACGGTTTACAGGAACATATTGACAGTGTTGTCACTACTAAAGTCGCTGCTCAGAGAGAGTAACTCAGCCAATATGTCGCTACCCAAGTCGCCACTGAACTCAAGAAAGTCTTGCATACTCTCCTAGACTCTTAGAAAAAGGAGAGGCGATCTATTGCATATAGACTTACCAGCATTAAAGCCAGCATCCAGGCTGCTACACGGGATGAAGAAGAACTTTGAGGTATAACATCCAATACTGAAATAGGTAGTTAAAGCAATCTACTCACACCGCAGCTTCGTTCTGAGTACTCACTGCACGACTCAGTATCGCAAGGTTTGCTCGCTGTCACCGGCTTCTGGCGTCACCATCGGGGAGTTGGCTGTTATCGATTGGCCAGCAACGCTTCTCCAAAACTAAAAATCAAGAGGCGGGGAATTGTCTCTTCCACGTGTCGGGCTTGTAACGATTGCGACTATTTTCTGCAACTTGGCAGCTCTTGGGCCGTCCTTTGATTGGAGAGAGCAGTGAAAGTAATGCATCATGACAATAGCGGCTACAGAGCGTTGAGCGAAGCGGGTTGAGGGAGAAACTTGACATGCGACAAGAGAGTGCAAGAAAGCTTAGAACCTCAATCGCAAGCGACAAAAAGACATGAATCAATTTGGTATAAATTCAAGGGAGCTTAGATTAGGTATTTTTTACACCTTAGTTCAACGTCAGAGGTTTTCTTGCTTCCTGCCTGGGTCTAGAACATGTCGTGATAGAAGTAGATGCCGAAAAACGATAAGCGTGGTCTCGTAAATTGAGAGCATTCTCGCTACTGCTCACGCCAAATTTAGTGCATGGCCAGAAAATGTGGTTGGATCAGACTTCTCCAAGATCTAATCCCGACCTTCCCTGTTTTCGTCCACTACCAAGATTCAATACTTGTTCTAGTCTCAATTTGTCGTTATCTCTGTTTTTGACTCGAGCAGAATCGGTTCAGTCTCTCAAATCTAACACCTCGCATTCTTCGCCTGTTGAGAATTAAATCTCGAACTTTTCCCTCTAATTAAAACCCCTGCAGCTGCCATCCCGCCAACCTTAAATTCCCGTTCGGCGTGAGGTTGCCGATCTTTAGTGGCTTCTCCCTGCCGCTGCGCCACTGTTGTGTCTCTCAAAAGTCTTGGGGGGGTTACACCTACGTCAAACAAACACGAGATTTTGCATTGGCACAAAGAACACCAAGCTTTAATCTCCCGTGCGTAACTGGGCTTCTTTTCCCTCCTCTGCTTAGAACAACCTCCGTATGCTCGATCGTCCATAACGCTGCGTTCACCTTTTTGCGCCGAAACCCCCTTACGCCGTTATAGCCGCATGCGAAATTATCCAAATATTGCTCGAGAACGTCAACTTCCTATCCGAGTCCTGCAGTTCCTGATCTACATGCCCGAATCGACCAAATTTCCACCGCCAAACTCCTCGATACCGTTACACGCTCCCTTCTTTGGACTAAGATAATATTCGAACCAAAGAAATTGACGACGATATCGTAAAGACCGCCCTGGCGGGCTTGCCCGCATTCCGCTTCTTCCGACCCCCTGACCACATCTCACCGTCAAGATGTTCGCGACACAACGACCTCTGGCGGCATTGTCATGCCTTCTCTCCGCTCTAAGCGTTATCCCTAATGTATGCGCTCAAGACAAGGTTTACATCAACGGAACTGGCGACAATGGAGTTTTCCACGAACGGCTCGATGTTAGTCGGACACCATCATTATACACAGGCGACTTTGACGACTGTCTGAATGATGGAAGTCTGTTCAATGTGACGGGTTTCGATACGGCTTATTACTCTGATAACCTCACTGTGTCATTTCACGTCTATGGAAGCACCAATATCCGCCAGGAAAGCGTCATGAGTATGTTGCGAAACTTTGTTGCGTCCTGCTTGATCATTCTAACCAGATTCTAGTGCATCTTTCTATTGAGGTATATGGGGAAGAGCGTTTTAACAAAACCTACGACCCTTGTGCAGAAAACGTCACGAGCCTTTGCCCGTTGAAGGCCGGCCAACCCATCGAGGCATACATTACAACTTCAATATCTGCCAATGACATCGCAGGCATTCCGTCAATTGCTCTCAATATTCCCGACCTGGAAGGTTACTCACGCATCCGGATCTTTGCCAACTCAACACAGACAGAAATTGGGTGCTTCCAGGCTACTATGAGTAACGGAAGGACCTTTTCACAGCCTGAGATTGTGGGATCAATACTGGGAGCTTTCACCGTGTTCGCGGTGTTGGCCTCATTTGCAACAGCGATCTATGGCGTTCAGATCCCGCATATAAGAATGCACTACGCCCATTCTTTTTCGATTTTGATCGTTTTCGAAACCTTCCAATCAATCTTCTTTTCCGGGGCACTGTCTGTCAACTGGCCTGCCCTGCTTCCTGCCTGGTGGAGCAATTTTGCGTGGACTGCTGGCATGTTTGCAAGCCTTGACATGATTGATGCTATCAGCCCATTTGCTGGCGTGTCTGGGAACGCCAGTCAAGTTGGCTCTGCAGGGTCGGTCCCCATCAACAACGGTGGTGGTCTTGCGCAGCAGATCTTCGGCAGAAGCCTTGGAAGCCGATCTGTTCCCCAACTTGAGAGTGTTGTCCACTCGTTAACCCGTCGCCACGACTTCAACTCTAGCAACCCATATGATTATGATTGGGCTGGCGAACCTCGAAATCCTGGAATGCCACTCCCAGGTGATTATTCTGGCTTCCCAGGTGTACTGTCTGTGGTCGGCATCCCTCGAAATGACGCGTTCATCATCGGGCTCATCTGGTTCCTTGTTATCCTAGCGGCCGTTGCCCTATTTGTGGCAACGTCCAAGTTTGTGCTCGAGTTGTGTCACAAATTCAAGCTTATCAAGTCCGATGGCTTTGACTTCTTTCGTTCACATTGGGTCGGATACATGGCTGCGGGCCTACTTCGAACGCTATTTATCGCTTTCTTCGTCATGATGACACTGGCCATGTTCCAGTTCTCGATCAACGGTCCACCGGGGCCGACTGCTATCGCTGCAGTCATTTTCGTGATGTTCTTGGGCTTTGCTGGCCTAACAGCGTATGCTTGCTCATCTAGGCTACGTGAAGGCAAGTATGAGGTCGTATCCGATACGCTTCGCTTTGAGCAAGGGTTGGTCCTCAAGAAAATTCCATTTGTGGCAACGACACTTGCAAGCTCCATCGGTGAGGAGGAACAGGCTCACAAACCGCGCCTCTTTGCCAGTGTGCCTATTCGCCGCATCAAGTTTGTTGACAAGGACCCCGAAAGACCAAAGGTTCATCAAGATGAGCCCTACATCAAGCGTTATGGTTGGCTGTCGGCACGATATCGACTCTCTCGATGGTGGTTCTTTACAGTCTACTTAGCATATCAGTTTGTCCGAGCATGCTTCATCGGCGGAGGTCGAGCAAGCCCCTTGGCTCAGGTCTATGGTCTCTTTGTCTTTGAACTCGTCGCTTTGGTCATTATCATCAAACTCAAGCCTTTTGAAGGATCTCGTAATACGACAGCAGCGATTTGGTTACTGTCGATCTCGAAGATCATCACTACTGGCCTTTCCATCGCATTCTTGAGAACTCTCGACCTCAGCCGCGTTGCAGCAACAGCCATTGGCATGATCATCCTTGTGGTTCAGTGTTTCCTTGCCGCGGCCATCTTGGTCCTGATCGTCCTTGGAATGATATCGTCGTGGATGTCTCTGTCTCGCAACCGTGAGGACTTCCCAGATAAGATAGATGATTTGCGAGTAAGGTATTTCGAGCATATGGAAGATAGAGCAGGTACATCAAAGCCCAAGGAAGACGAAGTGGATGAGCTTGCGGAGTTATCCAAGTCCATCTTCAGTATCAGCAATGTTCGACGCAATACCCAGATCAACGCGTTCCCAATGGTAGAGGGCTCAAACTCGCAGGTCCCGTCTCATCCAGCGCATCCACTCAACCGACGCAGGGCAAACAGTGGCGGTTCAAGTCGTCACTCGGTCAATAGTCTGCCTCGAAGTGGCCGTACCCACCGTGCATCGTGGAGTGCAAAAGACTTTGCAGAGTGGGATGCCGACATGAACAGAGGAGACACATCACGAATGAGTCGCATGCGAACTAGCTCCTTGCGTATGCAAGCATCGAGATACTCTGGTAGTCGGCCACCAATGACGCCGACTCGAGAATCCGCCGAGTTTCCTCGTACAAGTGTTAATACCATGAGCCCAGAGGACAAAGATGCGATCGTACAAGACAAGATCGAGGAGAATGCTGCTACGCCCAAGAGAAGAAAGAGGGCCGTGAGCTGGGCAGACCAGAGTTCAATCTGCGAGGAACCCATTAACGAGGTTCAGAAGGTTGACGATAAGCCACTCGAGAAGATAGACTCAACTGGTGGCCGAGAAGAAGAAGAAGAAGAGGCCAAGCCAAAGTCCGAGCCATAGTCGCCTCGGACCTTTTAAGGGAATCTTGGATTATGCCTCACAAGGTTGCATCGTCGTTTACTTGCATTTGGGTTTCAGTATGACCATGGCGCTTTGCATTTACCCATATTCCCCCTGTACCCAGTCAGCAAACGCTTGACTGCTGGGTTTCAACCATTGCATTTTGTACATATCGAGCATGATTCGGTCCTCCTGCCGGCACAGGAAGCGACTTGCAAATTATTTCCATTGGAGCATATTGAGACGCGACACGAAAACACAAAGACTATAGAGGAACTAGTCAACAATGATGTCTGGAGTTTCAGGTTTTGGGACCTCAGATTGAGAACAACTATAGATAGTTAATACATCACTTATGATTCGAGCACAATACCTTTGCATTTGACGTGCAACGTACCGGGCTATTATCGTCTGTACGTGACATTGCCCTTGAAAGTGCTGGCAGTGCACAAAACTCAATGGTCAAGCATCGCATTAAACAAGGCGTGTTGCACGGTCATTTCAGTGTCTAGAATCTAAGATTTGACAATCGTCATCTAACTCTAATAATAAATCATGTCTAAAACACTGGGAATTGGCCGTTGTCATCGAGACCTAATAATAAACTAGGA